ATTAGATATCAATCAACACAATCGTCTCCTTAGGAACGACTTTGAATGAGACTTAATTTTCTGTGCACGTCATGTGTCTGGTGGTAGAAAGGAAGGCGGCTCTAAATGATTCTTTGGCTACTTTCAAAATCGGGTTGAGGTGCTGGAGTCGTGTTTCGACCGACTCGAACCAAACTGCCTACACTTTAACCAACTTGACCGAAGAAAAATGTGTCTGACTGTGTTAGGCACAATCGTGCTTTGTTTTGATCGACGCAACCCAAACTGGCTGTTCCGACTGATTCAAAATAAGGTTCGACTATGTTTTGACATTGATTTTGGCTATATTTCCAAATTGTGCTCAACCGAAAACGCTGTTTTTGACGACGCATTTTGGGTCAAAACACCATCCGTGTCTTCGACCGAATAGCTTCCAAACATAATGCGATCACCTCAACCGGGGTCTTGCCCGAATCGAGTTATTATCTAACGCAGCAATTAAATAACAAAGCTATAAGGTTTGACTTCTTCCTCGGTCAAAAACTCACTCAGCAGACCACAAAAAATGTTAGGGCTGCAGAAATGTTTCCAAACATGAAGGCTCAAATGAAAAAAGAAAAATAAGTCTTGGTTTAGATTCAAAACGAATTATTAATTGTTAATTGAAATAGAACATAACCAAATGGCACAAAGTCCGAAAAAGTCATTCCAGTATAACACTTAAATTAATGTGCGTCCGTTCACTGCGAATACGAAAAGACTAGATCTAGAAAAATGATGCAGTTCAACTTAAGTGAGTTGGCCAAATTCTCGTCTTTCATCGGCCAATTGCTTCGAAACTTACAAAAACACTCGTCTAGCCTTAAAAGCCTGGTTGTTATAAAACAGGCTAGGCCGTTTAGAGTATCCTTTGAATGGTCACCTCACTTCTACTGCCTAGGCGTGGCGAGACGTATTGACTCTTTTCAGCCGTATCAGTGGTGTTAAAAACCACAGCTATTTTTGTACTAAGCATTAACGAATTGGACCTTACGTACCCGTGGTTTGATGAACTTTTAAAACAAGGCAAGATAAAAACTTGATCAGTAAATAAAACTATTGAATTAAACAGGAGCGGATCTAGGATTTTCTCGAGGGGTTGGCGGATTTTCAATACAATTTCGAAAATTTTGTCAGCCTTTTTTTATGTCGATCAAATTGATTTTCCAAGCTCTCCTAAAGCACTAAAATAACCTTTTTTTTTGGCAACATTTTCTGCGCCGCAGGCAAAATTTTGAAAAAAAAAACAGACCAAAATTGCTTTTTTTTCGGCGCGCTCTCCCCTTTTAAAGTTAGTATATTCTGGCGCCGAACGCGCTATTAGAAAACTTTTAGGGTCCGTCGCCAAACATGGATACCTCTAAATTTCATATATCAAGATATCGCACGTATAATGTGGATATAACCGACCGACTTCTATACGAATTGATGTTTGTTTGAAAATTTTTAACCTTTCAGAAAAGATATATTGTTTTCCTATCTACTTAGAAACAACCGAACGACTGGTAGAAGTATGACATCAACCCTTAGGGTTTAAAGAGGAACAGATTTTTAGTCTTGACTTGGTTTCGCAACTTTTTGCTTACGAAAAAGAAAAAAAACTTTGTTAAATTTTTCCCTTCAAATGAAATTTTATTTGAACTTTGGCTGAAACACTTAAAAAGCTAATTATTTGGCCCGAATGTTTAGCAAGCAAAACAAGGACATAATTCGAATAATTTTTCTCTTTCACGTTTAGTTTTGAAAAAACTCTGACTCAAATGTGAAGAAATCTTTTGTTGTTTTTAAGCGACAAAAAAAGCTATGCGCTGTTTTTGCCGACCGATGAATGATAATATGATAATTTTGTTGACTTGTTTTTAGGTCGACTCGTTTTTGTTGACTTGTTTTTTTTTTAGGTCGACCAATTGTTGACTTGGTTTTGATGACTTGTTTTTTTTTAGGTCGACTGATTTGATTTTCCGAGCTCTCCCAAAGTACTAAAAAGACCCTGATTGGGCCAAATTTTCTGCGCCGCAAAATACCAAAAAATTGCGTTTTTTCAGCGCGTGCCCCCTTCAAAGTTAGAATATATTGACGCCTAAGGCGCCTTTAGAAAAACTTTGGGGTCCGTCAGCCAAAGAAGGGATATCTTAAAATAGTTCAAAGGAGGACTATTTGGGTCGGCAGGGGCTCGAATCCATGAGAGAAGGAGAGGCGACTGCCGCCCCCTTAAATTCGCCCCAGGAATTGACAGATAAAAACTTTGAGTCCACAGACAACATTACAGCCACATGAGCAGCGATTAGATACTTTTATAAAGTGAATTTGGGATATGAACTCATTAGATCACTGAGCTAAACTGCACCAATAGAATTGCATGGGGTGTCATTGACGCAGCATGGTATCCAGTCCCTCAGCAATATTTAGTTCAAAAAAATTGCAAAAGAGTTTCTTCGAAAGACGATAATACTGAAAAAAAGTTTTTTGAAAGTTGTAGTTTTATTGTCTTAAGATGTCATTGAGGCACGAAATTAGTATTTTTTCATACGGTTTCAACCAGGGGCGGATCTGGGATTTTCTTGGGGGGTGGGGAGATTTTAACAAACTTTCGAAATTTTATCGACCTTTTTTTGGTGAACCAAATTGATTTTTTGAGCTCTCACAAATCACTAACAAGACCCTGTTTTGACCAAATTTTCTACGCTGCAGGCGAATTTTTGAAAACAGGATAAAAGGTGTTTTAGCCACATTTTAGAAAACAGCCTGACAAAAATTGATATCTTAAAATACTAGAAAGGGGGCCGTTGGGTCAGCAGGGGTCAAATCCCTGAGGCGGGAAAGGTTCCACCCCTCCCTAAATCCGTTGGTGGCTTCATCATATAGTAGTCAACCAAATTTGCTTTTGATTACTTCTTCTTTATACTGTTGGCCCAATTAACGGGTCCAATTGTTATTTCTCAAAATAAAAACTTTGATTTTGTTCTGTTTTCACCGAAGTAAGTTTTAAAAAACGTTATCATTTTTATTATTTTGTAACTAGGATTAGGTTTTTCGGAACATTGTAAAGAACTTTTTCCGAAGTTTTTGTGTTGTTCTTTATTAAAAACAAGCGTATTTAAAAAAAATATATATATAATTGAGGGAGTTGACTGCCTTTCAGAAATATGTTTTTATTAAGTTTCAAATAAAGTTTTTTCTGCCTTTCTTACTTTGGTCCTTTTTTGTGACATATGCTGCAGGTAGGTATAGTCCTTCTTATTTCTAAATTTTCTCTCACAAAAGTGATAGAGTTAGCATGTGTTGGACATTTTCGAGTAAATGCTTCTTAGTAAAGCTGCGAAAATGTATGTTAATTTGTTCCTCAACTGACATTTATTTTTTTTCTATGGATCTATATGTCATACATTTATGCCATAAAAACTAAACAAAACACAAAACTGTTTTGTATGGAAAAAAAGTTTTGATTTAAATCTGTTGACAATTTACGTTGAAAGGTTTGTGATTTACGTTTCATTTTCTATAAGTTTAGTAAACACTAATTTAAAGCATACAAATGATCAAAGGCGTAATCAAAGGGCAAAAATTGGAGCAGGCCACAAGTTGCAAAGGGCAGTGCCTTGAATGACAAAAAATGCTAAATGGGCAGTTTTTATATACGGAAAAAAGCTAATCATTCATTTTTAAGGCAACTCCAGAAGTACAGAAAATTGCATGAAATATCTATGATTACTTTTTTTTTCATAAATGAAATAAAGTATTTTTCCATAATTTGAAACAGATTTTTATTAAACTCAATTTCTTTAAATTTTTGAGTTGCGCTCGTAACGGAATACGAGTAACAAAGACTCATGTTACTCAAAAATTGAGTCACCGATGGTTTAATGGTCTTGCATTGTAAACGACCTGAACATAGATAAAATAAATTTTGAAAAAAAAAATCTTTCAGAAAAACTGAAAAACCTAACATCTGTGAATCCAATGCTGTCATAATTTTGCAAAGTTTATTTGATTACAAAATTTATTTCGCGCTCAAAACAAATAGAAAAACACAGGGGCGAATTTAGGGGTGGCGGACGCATCGCCCCTCAGGGATTCGACCCCCTGCCGACCCAAACGGTACCCCTTTGTACTATTTTGAGATATCCATTTTTGATAACGGACCCTAAAATTTTTCTAAGGGCGCGCCGAAAAAAACGCGATTTTTTGGTCTTGGTCAAAACTTTCCATAACTGCCTAAAACGCCTATTCCGGCCTGTTTTTTTCAAAATTTTCGAGAAAATCCTAGATCGGCCCCTGGAAGAACGTTTCTGGGGCAATTTTTAAACTACTTAATAAAATTTTTGGTTTAGCCATCAAATTAGTTTTTTATTGCCAAGGGAATTCGAAATATAATTTTTTTCGTACGCACTATGTTGTAAAAGACGAAGAAAAATCGAAACAAAAATTTTGTTGCACCATCGAACTGAGTAGACAATATGAATTGTGAAGTAGAATAAGCTCTAGCTCAAATATGCGATATTTCAAATATCCGCTATTTCAAATATCCGGAATTAACATAAAAACTAATGAGATTTTTTCAACTATTAGATTGCTGGGCGATTATAAAACTCGCATGTGCTTATCTGTTAAATTAGTTCTTTGTTGGGGGGGGGGGGATTTAATAGAGAATGATTAAAGTGATCAAAACACAAATATAGTTCATGAAGACGTTTCCAGTTTACAGAACAGTTAACTTCAATTCAATTTCCCAAAAAAAGATATAGTTTAAGCGAACCGTAGAAATTGGGTTTTTCCTCTTCTTTTTGAAAATTAATTGGATATTTGCATTGATAAAGATGTTTCTCGAATGTTTGAGCTAATATTCTACTTTTCTGATGATTTAACGATGTACATATCGGATGGTTGGGCTGTACCTAGTAGAGGAGACTATGCAGACTTGCAGATTTTGATAGAATCTCCGTGATTTGAACAGAAGTACTGGATTGATTAGTATAACTAACCTGTGGTATGCTGAACAGGCGCAACAAGCTAGCAACTTGGATGCTCACAACACTCGAGGCTGCACCAATCACCCCCACCACACCAGTGCTGCCCTTCTTAGACGAGTCATCTTTCATGGCCCCTCCCTGTTTGTTCGAACACTCCTGTGAGTCGTGGCTCGAGAATTTTCCTCGTACAAACTCGAGAGACCTTAGGTGGCAAAACGAAATTATATGTTTTTTTTCTCGCAAGCAATTTTTACAATATTTTCAAATAACAGGTTTTAGTTTTTTTCCCCCACATTTTGGTTACCCCGAGTGATGCATGAGACTATCATATAAAATGTTTTCAGCCATCATTTGGGTAACAAGAAAAAAATTTAATTTCCGTTATTCAGATTCAATGTTTTGTTAGGGTTTTTTCAAAGTAGTTAGGGTTTTTTGGTCACCCATTAACCATGCAAATAAATTTCTACAAAAAACGAGCGAAAAAATTAAAAACAAAGGTTCGCATTCTTGGTGTTTACTTTTTTATCTATATTTTCACAATTTTTCCCAAAAAAAATAGCAAAAAACCCTGTGTTATTCGCAGATCAACCGATGTGCTCTCGACTATTATAAAATTGCCAATTTTCTAACAAAAATTGGAGCTTGAAATCTTCAAATGCCGATTTAATTGGCAATATCAATTCTCTTATATTTTAATCTATAGCCGACCTTTCAACTCCGACCGTGTCCCGATCGCAGTCGTCTACGAACACTCCTCCGAGAGTCATCCCGTGAAGCAGGTGTGAAAAGTTTTGATTGACGATGTCAAGAGCGTAGATCATCATTTCGAGCTGCTGGATTCCAATTTCTGTGAAAATGTCCCCGCAAATTAGAGAGTCGTGACGGTCATGTACCATGAATATGCCGCCAATTTTAATGTCGCCTTCATAAACACCAATTTTGTCTTTCTCGGGCCAATTTTCAATTGTCGCGATTAATATGTCAAAAATCAATGAAATAAAAATGGAATTAAAAACACTTGCAATAAAGTAGCGCATTTTTGTTCAAGAATAAATTTAGATTTAGTTGAATTCAAGGTTTGGTTTTAATAGTTTCGACAACAATTGACAACCTTATAAACTCTCAGATTTAAACGTAAACAGATCGAAACATATTTCACTAATGATTAACGTTACAGAAAACTAGAGGTGAAAATATTTTTTTCCACCGGCGGTATCTTCTTTTTACCCAAGTGGTTATACGTGTTTGAAAAAAGAAAGTAAAATACGATTGGTTCAAATCACTGTAAAACGGTAATTCTTTTTGTGCACCAATAAAAATAAAATAATCAGCTAAAAAAAAATTTTTTTGTTCTGGTGAAACACGAAGAAAACTTTTTGATTTATTGTTTTTCAAATCAAGGTTTTTTAAATGAAATAATGTAATAATCTGAAGCCCAACAACATTTTAGTGAAAAACATTATGCCTTTTAGATATTTTGATGTTTCAATGTGAGAACACTAATGACAATTTCTCTCCAAAGCAAAGAATTGTTTGAACACAACTTATGAAAACCTCTGAGAAAATCATGAGATAAAGCATTATGCTTGGTTCAGTTTCAAAATAAAGAGGCGTTACGCGAAACAAAGAAATTCTGAAGCAATTCTAAAAACCCAATTGAATGAAAGTAAAAGCGTCATTAAATTCATTCCAACTAATTTACTGTTATGCTCGCATACCCCTGCGAGGTGCGAAAAACTAAGTTGGAATAAAAGCGGAGATTATTATCTTTTATTTTTTATTAGCACCTTGCGATTTCAATCAAACTGACATATATATTTAACAATTCCATTCGCGGTTGATTAAAAAATTAATTCACGAATGACGTAATTCCAGTTTGGTCACGCAAGAATTACATGGCAATCAAAATAGGAAGTTTTTGAGGGTTTCAGTTGAAGTGAATGTTGGCATGATAAAGGGGAACAAGCGACCTCTGTTGACATAATTCTGTAAGTGGACTAATTTTAAACAGCACTTATTTCGATGATACAATTTTTGGAAAATCATTTCCAATACGTTTTCTGTATTTATTTGACAAAAATAAAAAAAACTGGGTTTTTCAATTTTTCAGCGGAACTTGACCTGTATTTGAAAAAATCTGCCTTTATTTTGCTCATCAAAGTATCATTATATATTGAAAACAGGGATATCTAGCGGTTGAGCAGTTAGTTCAGAAAATTTGGATTGTACTCCTTGAAAAAACTCTAAATTTAAGCGCAATAATTGAATATAATTTTATGATGTCCTTGGTTATCTTTTTTGTTCCTGCCTTTTGAGGTTTAGTTAAGTTACCTATGTGCGTTGAAAAATTGAATTTTCAAGTCCCTCTTCATCTTCGATGATCAGAACGAAACAAAAGTATAGCTGTGCTCGAGGCAAAGCCGATGATCAGCTAGCCGATACAAGATGATCACAGAAAACAACCAAGATATTGCGTACATTAACTACACGAAAATGTGGTGATACAATGCAATAGGTGGCAGACTCAAGTTGAATAGCAGGATCATTCTTTGTTATACTTCAAACAAAGCTGATAGTTTAATTAAAAAGCCAATTTTTTTTTGGTGGAAGAAATGAAACTAGGAATGATCTGGCTTTTTCTTGGCTTACAACACAAAAAAAAGATGCGAATCATGCAAAACAACTTAGTATCAAGAATAAAGTTATTGAGATCTGATTATCTCGCAAAATTAATGTCACACAAAATGCAACTCAAAATTGCGCAAATTCCAATAGTACATTTTTTAGAAATTCATTTTTGAACCAATTTCTTTGTTTGCAAAACCTAAACTAATTGTTTTAAATTTTTTTTCAGCGCAAACTTACAAGGCCAATTTGTGCAATGGATAATTGCAGAGTTTGGTGTCTTGAGGGCGCTGGAATTGAGAGACAGGTCTTTAAATTTGTTTCAAAATATTAGTGGTTTCCTTTTGCCAAAAAATTTGTGGTTTCATTGCCTAAATACCTGTAAAGGAAACTTTGTCAGCTCAATGGTTTTGTCGAGAATTCCGCAGTGACTGAAAGTAGCTAATTGCTCGGAGTTTTGCAATTGTAAGCTGATGTCACTTACAATTTGCGGATTCTAATTGCAGTTGCGGATTCAGAAAAAGCGTAATTTAACTATTCGCATATATATTTTTGCTTGAGGTTTTCTCAAAATGTTCTAGATTCTGCCAATTTTTTTGTTTTTGGGACATTTTGACATTACAATGGTTTGGCTATTTGTTTGTGGAATCTAAAACAGCAAAATTATCTGCGACGATTTTTTTCTCGGCCTGTTGCGGAATCCGCTTACAATTGACAAACTACACAGTTTCACCTCGTGATGTGTAAATTAAAAAATCTGCCATTTCTTTGCTCTTCAATGTATTGGTATACATTGGAAACGGGGATAGCCAGCAGTTTGGCAAATGGCACAGAAAATTCCGACTCTACTATTATTATTTCAAAAAAAACTGAATTTATTTGCATCAAAAAAAAATTTTAACGATTCTCTCTGTCAGTTTATTGTTTGGAAACAAATTGATCTGGCCTTTTCTTGGTTTATAATGAAAAAAAAAGATGCAAATAATATGAAAACCAAATGTTAAGACTAGAGCTGTTGAGCATCTGATCATCTCGCGAACAAAGCCATTAGTGACTTCGAGGATTAACTTGCACAAACCGCACGAAAAAAGTGCGCAAAAACACACCATTAAATCACACAAAAACACTGCATGCATTTTAAAAAAAGACAACGCAAATTGCGCGACGATGCAATTTTCATAGCGCAAACCGCAACAAAAATTATGCAACACAAATCTGTAAACTCAAACCTTCAGGTGAATTTTAGAAATAATCTCTTTTTCGGATACTTCACTTGCAAAAGTGCAATACAGATAGATAACCAAAATGTTCCATTAAAATTTTAATTTGAAGTCGGATCTGCATTTTTCATCATTAAACCATAGACCAGAAAAAAAAACAATAAAACAAACAGAACAATTAAAAAAAATACCAAAAACAATAGCGTTTACCTTCATGGCTTCACTAGATTGACCTACTTGAACAAAGTTTTTGCTTTTTTTAAAGCTAAATCGGATTTCACGGCTCTCCTTTCTTTTTGAGGCTTCTAAACATTAAGGATATTTTCCGTTAAGGAATCTGTTTTATTGTTGTTCGAAAACCAAAGATACAACAAATGTTTTGAAAAGTTTGGATTTCATTTGCATGAATCGACATTTTCAGAAACCTTTTGATACCAATATGGCGCGATCCACGGAGACACACTCATGACAGAAAAGCAGCTACTATTTGGCTGATATCAGTCGTTTCGAAAACCTGCTTTCACAATTTACAAAGTTTAAGCCTAAGCAAAGAAAGCAACTTTAACCGTTTTGACGTTTTAAAATCGTTGTAGCAACACATAATAAAGTAGACCGAACAAATCTATGGCGAGTTTTTTAATTTCTCAATTGTAGGATCCAAGCACACTTTTTAGAAATCCATTTTTAAACTTATTCCTCTGTTTGCAAAACTTAAACAAATTGTTTTAATATTTTTGCAGCGCTCAGTTTGTTGTCTGAAGGTCACTAGAATTCAGATAAGAGTCCTAAAATTTGTTCCAAATGATAAACGTTTTCCTTTTAAATGTGTATCCAGTGCTTAAATAATTGTAAAATAAATTTTATCGAGGATTCCGCAGCTAGGGAAAGTAGCTAGTTGTTCGGGATTCTGAAATTGTAGGAGCATGTCAATTACACTTTGCGGATTCTATTTGCAGTTGCGGATTCTGAAAAAGCGTAATATGATAAATTAAAGCGTATACACAAATATAATATTTTCTTTGAAATTTTCCCAAAAGATTTCCTCAGATTCTGCAATTTATTTTGGCGTTCCACAAACTTCGCTGGGAATCCTGCAAAATTTGTAAGGGATTCCGCAGTTTTATCATTTTTCGGGGCCTTTTTAAGCAATGCAGTGTTGTAGCTATTTGTTTGTGGAATCTTGGTTTGAAATGAAAGGAAAAGAGATGCAAATGAAATAAGAATCGTCAGTCAAGACTGTAGTTGTTCAACATCTGATCATCTCGGAAACAAAATCATTTGTGACACCTATGATAAAATTTCACAATTTGCAGCACAAAAATGAGCAAAAACGCTCCATTCAATCACACAAAAACACCATACAAATTTCAAAAAATGTCATGCAAATTGCCACGCCGGGCCCCTCTTTTTGAGGTTAGTAAACATTATGGATGAATTTCTGTTAAGGCGTCGCTTTTATTTTTGTTGGAAAAACCACAGTTACAACAAATAATTTTGAAAGTTTGGATTTAATTTGCCTGAATCGAAATTTTCAAAAAACCTTTTGATACCATTATGGCACAATCAATGAAGACACACTCTCGACAGAAAACGCAGCTACTGTTTAGCTGATATCAAGCGTTTAGAAATCCAGCATTCACAATTTCAAAATCTAAACTTTAGCTAAGCAAGCAATTTTAACCGTTTTGAATTTTTAAAACCGTTGTAGAATTACATAATAAGGCAGACCGAACAAATCTAAGGCCAATTTTTTAAACTTTTTAAATATAGGATCCAATTAAAAAAGAAAGAATAAAAACGCCTTTTTTCGTTATCGTTTGTCTTGTTGACCGTTGTAAAAACCGTTTGACGGCTCTTACCCCCCCCATCTTAGATAAGCATCGATTTCATGGTATAACGAGTAGTTTTACAAGGTTGAGCATGAAAATCAAATATGTATGTCATGGCATAATTAGTTTGTATTTCGTATTCCCTAATTAGACAGTATTTTACTACAAACCTACAATGTGAACAGAAAAATTGCTCTATAAAATTGCAGATTAGAGGGGAGTGGGGGAGGGGGGAAGGAAAAAAGCCTGTTTTACTTACGTCGACATGTTCAAAGAACCTAATTTTAAAAATATTGAAAATTTATTTTTCAAAAATTGGCTGGATTTAAGGAGGGGGCGGAGGGTGGACGCCTTCCTCAGTCATATGACCCCCTGCCGACCCAAAGGATCCCCTTTTGTTCTGTTTTGAGATATCCATTTTTTACTGACTCACTTAAAATTTTTCTGAAGGTGCCTTTGGCGCCAAGATACACTAATTTTGAAGGGGGAGCACGCGCTGAAAAAACGCAATTTTTTGCTCAAAATTTTAAAAAAAGTGCCTAAAAACGCCTTTTTCTCCCCT